CTATTGCTACCTAAAGCAATCTACACCTTTAATGCAATTCCTATCAAAGTACCATCCATTTTTTTCAAAGAAATGGAACAAATAATCCTAAAATTTATATGGAACCAGAAAAGACCTCGAATAGCCAAAGGAATATTGAAAAAGAAAGCCAAAGTTGGTGGCATCACAATTCCGGACTTCAAGCTCTATTACAAAGCTGTCATCATCAAGACAGCATGGTACTGGCACAAAAACAGACACATAGATCAATGGAACAGAATAGAGAGCCCAGAAATAGACCCTCAACTCTATGGTCAACTAATCTTCGACAAAGCAGGAAAGACCAATGGAAAAAAAAAGACAGCCTCTTCAATAAATGGTGTTGGGAAAATTGGACAGCCACATGCAAAAAAATGAAATTTGCTCATTTCCTTACACCACACATGAAAATAGACTCAAAATGGATGAAGGACCTCAATGTGAGAAAGGAATCCATCAAAATCCTTGAGGAGAACACAGGCAGCAACCTCTTCGACCTCAGCCGCAGCAACGTCTTCTTAGGAACATCGCCAAAGGCAAGGGAAGCAAGGGCAAAAATGAACTATTGGGATTTTATCAAGATCAAAAGCTTTTGCACAGCAAAGGAAACAGTTAACAAAACCAAAAGACAACTGACAGAATGGGAGAAGATATTTGCAAACGACATATCAGATAAAGGGCTAGTGTCCAAAATCTATAAAGAACTTAGCAAACTCAACACCCAAAGAACAAATAATCCAATCAAGAAATGGGCAGAGGACATGAACAGACGTTTCTGCAAAGAAGACATCCATCTGGCCAACAGACACATGAAAAAGTGCTCCATATCACTCGGCATCAGGGAAATACAAATCAAAACAAGAATGAGGTATCACCTCACACCAGTCAGAATGGCTAAAATTAACAAGTCAGGAAATGACAGATGCTGGCGAGGATGCGGAGAAAGGGGAACCCTCCTACACTGTTGGTGGGAATGCAAGCTGGTGCAACCACTCTGGAAAACAGCATGGAGGTTCCTCAAAATGTTGAAAATAGAACTACCCTAGGACCCAGCAACTGCACTACTGGGTATTTACCCTAAAGATACAAACGTAGTGATCCAAACGGGCACATGCACCCGAATGTTTATAGCAGCAATGTCTACAATAGTCAAACTATGGAAAGAACCTAGATGTCCATCAACAGATGAATGGATAAAGAAGATGTGGTATATATACACAATGGAATACTATGCAGCCAACAAAAGAAATGAAATCTTGCCATTTGCGACGACGTGGATGGAACTAAACGGTATCACGCTTAGCGAAATAAGTCAATCGGAGAAAGACAACTATCATATGATCTCCCTGATATGAGGGAGAGGAGATGCAACATGCGGGTTAAGGGGGTAAGAGAAGAGTAAATGAAACAAGATGGGATTGGGTGGGAGACAAACCATAAGTGACTCTTAATCTCACAAAACAAACTGAGAGTTGATGGGGGGAGGGGGAATGGGGTTATGGACATTGGGGAGGGTATGTGCTATGGTGAGTGCTGTGAAATGTGTAAACCTGGTGATTCACAGACCTGTACCCCTGGGGATAAAAATATATGTTTATAAAAAATAAAATTAGAAAAAAAAAAAAAGCAGGGATGGGGGAGAGTAAGAAAAATAAAACCAGCACTAACAACTCTGCCTTTGTGCCTTGGCAAGTTCAACAAAAACAAATCCAAAGACTATAACTGGTTATTTCCCATCCTTTATTCTGTCTCTTTTCCCTCTAGTAATCACTATAACTACTAGGTATTTGTAGCATGTAATGATTCAATAGCCCATGTATGCTCAAATTTAAATCATTAGCCACTAATAATGCTATCAACATATTTATTACTGTTGTTGGTACACAACACTTTAAACACAAGGATTTTTTTTTAAGTTTTTTCTTATAATGAGCTTGTCATCCATTCGATGGAAAAAAAAAATGGAACGCATACAAAGAGTTGCTAATTAGCATTCAGTAAAAGATCTTTTTGCTTATACAGGTCTGCCTCCATAAATTTTCCAAAAGGATGTCCCTTTACAAATATAAAACATTTCATTTCATTCTCAACATGGCATGGAGACATGCAAAGTTGATATAAAGGCTCTTTCTAAATGACAACATCTCACCACCACCTCCACCAAAAAACTCAAAGTAGTTTCTAAAAAAATATAATACATTTAGGTGGAGCTTTTACATTATCTTATTTGACCCTTATAAGTCTGTGGGGTAGGCAGGTATTCCAAAGGTAAGGGTAAAAAGTCAGAGAGGCATTTAGCACCTTGCTAATCATCCCTGCAACGCTAATGATTCTCCGTATCAATTTGGTACAGAGGCTGTATGTAACCAATAGCTAGCGTCCGCATGCCCATTATTTCCCAGACACCAAAACAAAGTTAATACTAAAAGGTACCATCAAGCCACAAGGACATTAGATTCAGAATAGGAAAAAGGACAGCATAAATAAATCCCTAAAATGAAATATTTTTCTCTCAAAGGGAGAATGAAATAAAACGTACGTTTTTAATGAATCCTTTTTAAACTTATACATAAAAAACACCTGGATAAAACCAGTTGGGGTGGAGGAAATCACAGGACTGAGCTAGTAGGATGGTAAGAAAGATAAGGAGGCACAAATCTGTTTATATAAACAGTGATAACTAGTCAACTATCTTTGTTATTTATTCAATCAATATTAATTGCATAAGCCACTGTCCAAAGTACTCTAAGAAATACTACGGTGAATAGGAAAAAGTTCTGCATTCAAGTAGCTTACCTCCCAGTTGAGCAGATAATACGGACATACAGATAAAACACTCATTCACTGATTCAACATTTACTGAGTGGTTACAGGACGGCACGGTGTTTGGCACTGTGAGAAATACAAGGATGAATTAAATCCTTAGCCCTCCAGGGAGTAACATTCGGAAGAAAACACAGTTTTGCAGGCTATAAATGGAGAACATTAGAAGTGCTATAAGAGTGGTCTAAATGAAATGTTATGTGAATTCCAAAGAGGGAGAAATGATTCCCAAGTAGGGATTCCAGGAAGATAACAGGAAGTAGAAATTTGAAATAAAGGGCATGTAGGATTTGGGTACCCACTGATTAGAAGGTCAGATGTATATAAAGACAGAAACTTTGGGAAGTAAACGGAGGATGGAGGTGGCAGTGAGTACTTAAGGGTTTGGGGAGGGGACTCCCAGGTTACGTGAAGGAGTTTAGGAGGATGGACCGGGAAGTTAGATCACAGAGGGTGCTCAAATGGGAGTCTAAAAAGCTTATATGGTTTACAGAATATGAGACATAAGAAAAGGTAGAATACAGAGTATCTTAAAAGAGTTCTAAAGTCAATGATAAGAGGAAAGGAAAATTAGGTTCATAATTAGAGAAGAGATCATTCATTTAGGCTTAGAAAGGATGATATGAATCTGATAGGCTGTTTCAGATGATACAAGTTGATGAAAGCCATAATTCAAACCAGTTCAGCAACTCCTTGGTTGGTACCCTTCCTGGGAGATAGCTCAATTTTTATTTCCTCAGATATATTAACTATGAAATGACACTTGCCTGAATAAAACCAAACCTCAGGAACTAAGCCTTTAACACACACACACGCATACACACACACACAATTACATGTATCTTCCCCGCAGCCAACCCCACACACATCATTTTGGTAGGATACTTTTATTGCTGGATTTTTGTTTGTAAGTATAAAATTAACAGATGTTCAGTGCAAAAAATCCAGTCTTTTCATAGCTGTTAATTTTAATATTGACATAATGACCCACAGTATGAATGTATTAACAGTGATAACTAAAATCCTATATGAGAGCCAGTGCACCTGGAAAGTAGCCAACTGTCCAAGACCAGTCTGATCAGCCCAAAGATGATACTGGTCTTTTCAAGAATCATTTGGGGCTCTACTCCTAAAGGTCAAAGGAGACTACTTCTAAATGATCGCCAAACCTTCCCTGGAATATATGAGTTAAAGAAGCCCAAAATAATCTCTCAGGAACCAAAACAGAAACAAAACTGAACATAGTAAACACTAACACAGACTGTTGGTTGGATACTTAACATATAGGGGTGCACAGGTTTAGGCATATTCATGAACAAATTTATTTTTATCAGAGATCACCTACATTAGAATAATTTCAACCTAATGGGTTTGAATGGAATAGAACTAAACTCCGAAAATCAGTGAGTCAAATGTTGTTGGGCTTTGTATTAGAAGAGCTTTATGTCCAGGTTGAGAGCATGATATTTGAACTGAATCAGAATTGATATGAGCCTCAGCTATGGACTACGGTAACTGTGTGACCTTGGGAAAGTGGCTTAAATCTTCAAAGATTTAAGAAAATAAGGATAATACCTATGATAATTAAATATAAAAATTAATATATGAGAGACTGCCCTTAAATGGCAGTTTATTGATAATGGGCAATTATCATGGTACCAATTTATACAGAAATCTGTCCTTAAAGAATTAGTGCTTTATATTTACTTTTTTTTTAAGATTGTTTTTATTTATTTGAGAGAGAGAGAGAGAAAGAGCACAAGCAGAGGGAGCAGCAGAGGGCGAGGAGGGAAGCAGGTTCCCCGCTGAGCAGGGAGAGCCTGATGCGTGACTCCATCCCAGAACCCTGGGATCATGGCCTGAGCCAAGGGCAGATGCTTAACCATCTGAGCCACCCAGGCACCCTATATTTACTTTTTAAAATTAAAAATAAAAACATGCTCATTAAAGAAAATTTAGAAAATACTGATAAATAATAATTTTACTTCCATAGTCCAGAAATCACTAAGTTTATGAATTTTCAAAAGCATCTTTAGGACCTGGCTCTATTTTTTTTTTTTTTTAATGGATCAGACTTTTTTTAAAATGGGAAGTAAAACATGTGTTTCTATCACAGAATTATAAACACCTTCAGTTTCATTTTCTGATTTCTATCCCTTGGGGTGAGAAAAAGCAAAGCAAACAAGGTATGGTGCTATCTTGAATGCTCTACAATGTATCATATTTATTCTTTTTTTTCAGAGACCAAGAGAGAACATGCAGGGGTGGGGCAGAGGGAGAGAGGAGAGACAATCTTCAGTTGCCTCCATGAGTTCATGACCTGAGCTGAAATCAAGAGGCAGATGCTTAACAGACTGAACCACCCAGGCACCCCTCATATTTATTCTTTAAAGCTCATCTCCACCAAGTGTTTTACAATCCTTTCATGTCCATCTCTTTGTCCTTTGAGAGACCTGGTATCATGGGGTTTAGATTTCTCATTTAGCACTTTTCACACTGAACGGTAGTTCTTTTCTTAGCAGCCATTTGTTCTTTTGCCCTTCCCCTTGTTCTACAGTCTATAGCCGGGGTTTCTAACCTAAGAACTGTGAACCTCCTGAAATGACACATAAAACAGTGTTTCTGTAGATACAAATACATCTTCCTGGAGAGAACCCATGTATTGATCAACCTCAAAAAAGTTCTGAGTATCAAAAAAGGTATGGAACTCTGGTCTAGGGAACATATTTGTGGTTTAATTACCCTTGGATCTTCTACAGTGCTTAGCATCTATCTTTATATGGACAAATATTTGTTGATTTGAAATTTTATTAATAAAGCATAAAGTCAATACTGGATATATAAAATTTATCTATCTAAAATAGATTTTCCTCATATATTTTTCTCATTCATCATTTCCTCATCTTTTTTTTTTTTAAAGATGTTTTTTATTTATTTGACAGAGAGAGATCACAAGTAGGCAGAGAGGCAGGCAGAGAAAGAAGGGGAAGCAGGCTCCCTGCTGAGCACAGAGTCCGATGCGGGGCTCGATCCCAGAACCCTGAGACCATGACCTGAGCTGAAGGTAGAGGCTTTAACCCACTGAGCCACCCAGGTGCCCCATCATTTCCTCATCTTAACATAAAAAATATTGTTTCTGAAAGAATAGTGGTTATCAGGGTTTAGTGAGAAGAGGAAATGAAGAGTTATTGTTTAACAAATACAGAATTTCAGTTTGGGAAGATGAGAAAGTTTGGAGTTGGATGGTGGTGATGGCTGCACAACAATACGAATGTACTCAATACTACTGACCTGCTAAGTTTTACCACCACTACAACAACAAAAAAGCCCTGCTTTTTATTATCAGATGATATTAATGACCTATTTGTTACAGGGCAGACTCTTCATCAACAGAAAGGAATAAAGAAATATTACTGGTTAAATTTTAGCATATAAGAAATAAATCTTAACCTCAATCCACACACTGTTGATTTTAGAGTATAAGCACAAATAAAAATAGGGTGACATAATCTTAAATCCTGTCCAAATACAGGGGCTGTTATTTGAGTAAACAAAGGTAAATTGCTTGGGGATATCAGTTTATCTGTGTGAAGTAAATTAAATTTTTTCAATGTACCAAGTCACTATTCAGGGAACAGACAATAATTTAGCCCAATTGTACCAATATATTATCCACATAATACTGTAAGCATTTTGGAAGTCTGCAACAGGCATTTCAAGGTGTCTGGAGCACATTTTATTCAATAAACATTTAGTGAGTATTCTTAGGATTCAAAAATATACAAATCCCAAAACTACTGGAAAAAAAAAAAGATTATCTAGTACGCTGATTACAAAAAAGATGTATTCAACTACTTTTGTTATTTCAATTTACTCTCATTTCATTACTTTCTAGCTTGCTTCACCAAAGAAAAAGTCTCAGACTCAGGTAAGGTAATAAATGTATTTAAATATCAAAAATAGTCATGTTACTGCCTTTTGAGGCAGCGTCAAAAAAAATTCATTTTAATGATGTTGTATTGATATTTCCAATCAATGTGTATAACTTATCAAAAGCTATATTCTAAACCTTTTGATGATTGTCAGTAATATTTCTTGGTTATTTATTACCAATAGATATTATATTTGTAATGACATTTTAAAATTTCATTATTTTCCCAAAGTCCTTATATATGAGAGAGATTTACAATTATTTCTCCACTGGAATTTAGGAAAATCCTTGGAAACAGATTCAACATAAAAGTTAACTATTGAATTAAATTCTGTATCACGGAAAAGATATCCACTACCATAATGAAAAACTGGGTAGTTGATGTAAAGCTAATATGTCTATTGTTCTCTTAAGGTTAGCATTAAATAATTAGCTGAATATAAAATTTTCCCATGCTTGTATTTACCAAAAAACAAATTTCCCTAATATTTACTCACATTCAGTATTTACTCAATAAATATTTACTGAGTGCCTGCCATGGAGCAGGCACTATGCTGTCACTGCAGGACAGCTGTGAGCCAGTCATGTTCTACCCAAGCAATATTTAAGTGTTATTGTTTTTCTAGAACACAGATTTATATCACCACCTTTTCAAAATGTCTTTATGTTTTTGTAAACACACTCATTCTGGTAATATTTTGAAAAATTTAATTTATGAATCTGATCTCTAAATAAAAATTTATGAATAACTATTTTTGAAGACATAAAAATGTTTGCCTGTCATAAAGTTTTTCTATATGGCAATAGCAAAACAATAAAGACAGCACAAATTACTTTAAGGTTTAAGATTACCTGAAATGGGAATATTCTGTGTGACTGATAACTGCACATCTCCAGTTCCTGGTGGCAAGTCAACAACTAAATAGTTGAGTTGGCCCCAATCTACCTAAAAACCAAGATGAAACAAATAATTTCACTGTATAACAATTACCGTGAATAGTGATATGAACAAAAATAAATGTATTAATAACCAAATCTAAAATAATAGTTTTCACTTAAACCATTACCATCAGGGACTATGTTGAAGGTTAAGGATAATTGAATAAATGAGAGACACTTCCCGGCTCCAGAAGACCTTCTCTGAATGAAAAGGTTAAATTTCCCAATGACCACTCCCCTCTTACCCTACCCTCAACACACACATACACACACACACACAAAAGGTGAACCCATTCCACAGTGGGCTTCTATTCAGGACCATTACTTTATTTTCATTAGGAATAGCCTAGGAAGGCCTTAGCTTTGTGTCCTTGGATTTTGTGGTACAGCATTTCCTATTGAAGATCCTAATATAACTGTTTATGAACTTTTTCCTTCATAAAACACACTAATAATGATAAGCAAAACTTAGGAAAAATTTAGAAACATAACTAGACTTCCAATACTATTAACATTTTGATTATTTCCTTCCGGGCATCTTTCTAGGTATCTTTACCTAGAAAATTCAGCTATATTACCAAGTTCTTAAGGCTCAGCCTCAGATTAGATAGGTCTTAAGGGCTCCTCAGACTCTTTTCTCCTGAGATGGCTACTCCCTCTGAGTAAACAGTCTCAGTGAATAGCCCTATGTTCTTCTCATTTGCCAAAGGTGGAAGCTTGGAATCATATTTAACTCCTCCCTTTCTCTCACTAGCCCCAGTCACTTATTCTACCTTCTGAAAATCTCTCAAGTGTATATACTTATCTCTTTCCCCATTGCCAAGAACCCAATAGAGAACACAACCATGTATCACCAAAGCTTCCCAACCAGACTCTCCACTTTGACACTGTCCACCCAGCCTGTTCCTAACACTGCTGAAAAATGGTCCATCTAAAATACAAGTCTGATAGTGCCACTTTTTTGTTTAAAATTCTTCAATTGCCTTCAGGATAAAATCTGAGCTGAAGCTCCAGAACACTCTGCCTGGTCTTCTTCACCTGCTAATTGATCCTCACTCTTCAGATCCCAGCTTGAAAGTCACTTCCCTTAACTTCCATTAGATTAGATATGGTGTTCCTTCTAGGTACTTCTCCTAATCATTCATTCATTCAATCATTCACCCATTGAATGTTTCAGTACCTACTACATATTAGGCATTAAGTTAGGTACTAATAACTAAATGGTTCCATGGTCTCTAACTGCACAGAATTTATCATATAGAAGGAGACAGATATCAAGCATATAATGAAATAACCTCTGCAAAGGAAAGAGGTTAGTAAATGTAAGCAAGTGAAAGAAGATCAACATAGCTAGAGAGCAATGGTTCATTCATCTATTAACACATATATTCAACACATATTTATTGAGAATTAATTGGGTACCAGGCACTGTTGCAGGTGATGGGGATAGAGCAGCGGACAAAACAAAGTCCCAGCCTTTCCACTGCCACTGTGGAATGAGTGAGGGAGTCAGGCAGACAAACAGAAAGACAAATCAGAAGGTACAAAGTGCTATGAAGAAAGTAAGTTCCTTTACTATAAAAAATTACTTGGTTCTTAATTCAGATATATAGATTAAATAGAAAGAGATATGTTAAAAACCTCTTTAATATCTGAATTTCTGAGAGCAAGTAGTAAGAATTCAGAAAGCAAAGGATTTATCAAAGAACTGCTCTTTTTAAAAAAAAAGATTTTCTTTATTTATTTGAGAGAGAGAAAGCGTGCAAGAACACTAGCCGGGGGTGGGGGGAGACAGACAAGCAGACTCCCTGCTGAGCAGGGAACCCGAGATATGGGGCTCCATCCCAGGACCCTGAGATCATGACCTGAGCCGAAAGCAGATGCTTAACCAACTAAACCAACCAGGTACCCCAAGAATTTTTTTTTTAATCTCTTTGATTCCCAAGGTCAAATGGTAAAGATACACTTATACAGTAGGGAATAATAATAGAATGGTGGTGGAAGGTACTACTTTAAAGTGAATGAAGTCAGAAAATAACTAAAGCAGTTGACTGAAAGAAACAAAGCTTTCCAGGCAGAAGCAATAGCAAGTGCAAAAAAGGTTCTAACCAGTGAGGGTCTGCTTTGCAAATTCAAGGAATAGCTAGGAGGTCAGTATAGCATTTCTAAAACAGCACCTCCACCCCCAACTATCAATCTCTCTCCTTCTCTGACTTTGTTTTTCTTCAAAACATTTATCAGTATCTGACATTATATATTAACTTGTCTTTTAGGAATTTTATAATATTTCTCAAACACAAGTATTTGATAACTGACTGAATGACATATTTTAAAACAATGATGAAATGATGAATATAAAGCAGCTCATTTTCATTTTAGGGCTCCTTGGTTTGAAAAATAGTTACCCCAAACTTACCCAGGGCCATCATCTATGAAACTATCTATAAAAAAGATTAAGGATACTCTTCATTTTATATCCTCTACACTGAAACTCTTAGCACTGGCAGACTGACAAGCCTCTGCACTTCAGAGAACATCAAATGACTGGTGCCAACAATTTATCATTGTTGTTCCCTGGCATTTAATCATATTTATCACACTGGCTCCAATTTCTTATTTCTTTAAGGAGAACTGCTATTAGGGTTCCAAGGAACTAAAAATACGTCACTGTTAAGACAATTTCAGATGACATTTAAATGAAAAAATGATTCTGGTCCAGCACCTTGATCACACACAGGAGGCATTCCACAAAGGCATGCAGACTTGAACTCAAGTCAGTATGTGAATTCCAGTCCTACAGCAGTCACTAGTACTAACACTACAATATACTGGCTGCCAGCAAGTTCCAGTTCTCTTCTAAAAGAGTAAGCAAAGCATTGGTTTTAGAGTGATTTGGGTCTTCTTTAGATTCTACTTAGTGTTTGTTTATTCTTATAAGCTGTGTGTTACTAAATGCAGGTAAATAAGTACTAGCAAAATACCCGGGTACCTCATTTAGTAAAAACCAGTGGCGGATCCCACTGGGATTCTGTGTGGCCTGAAGCATATACAATTTGTGTAATCCCTTCTACGAATAAGAATACAAAATTATAGCACCTGGGTGGCTCAATCATTAAGCGTCTGCCTTTGGCTCAAGTCATGATCCCAGGGTCCTGGGATCAAGCCCCGCATCAGACTCCTTGCTCGGTGGGAAGCCTGCTTCTTCCTCTCCCACTCCCCCTGCTTGTGTTCCCTCTCTGGCTTTTTCTCTGTCAAATAAATAAATAAAATCTTAAAAAAAAAAAAAAGAATACAAAATTATAAAGGCAAACTTAGGTATAAAAATAAATATTTATTTAGAACGTGACAAGAAATCACCCTAAAATGCTGAAGCTTTAGAGATTCAAGTTTCTTTCTCTGAGATCTCTTGAATAACATAAATGATTACATAGAAATGCTTCCTGACTGCAACCTGCTTCCTCTCTCCACCTGGAGCATTCTACAACTCCCAGCATCCCACAGGAACCCACGTAAGCATGGAATCTGGAGTTTAAACTTCATTAGCCTCATGGCAACCTCACCTCTGGTAAAACTCTCTCAGGCTCCAGACTAAAAGGATTCCATCAATACAGAGTAAATCAGTCTACAAGCAGAGTTACCAAGGTAGCTCAGAGATGCCATGCAGGTAAAGAGGTGGCACTACAGCAGAGAATTCAGTAATGTGGTTGGGAAGTCAAACATGTGCATCAAATCTGAAGTGGAAGATGCCTCAGGGGCTCAGTCAGGCTTCTGAAACTTGGTTTTGGCTCAGGTCATGGGATCTTAGGGTCATGGGATTGAGCTCCGCATGGGGCTCAGCAATAAGTCTGATTGAGATTCTCTCCCCACCCTCTCCCTTCTGCTCTGCTTCTCCATTTGTTGGTACTTATGTACACACTCTCTCTCTAAAATAAATAAATAAATATACTCTTTAAAAAATAATCTGAAGGGGAACACAAATTGCATAATGGGAGGATCAAAAACAATACCAATGATCAACAATATCAATGGTCAGACATCTGTGCAAGATGTCTCCCTTA